AAATAATCGCAATAGAACCATTTGTATTTACTGTGCAGGCCGTTTCTTTAATGCAACTTCTCAATTACCTAAAAGAAATGGTAATCTGAAGAGTCATCTTTTTTCACTAAAAAAAACAACAAAAAAAAAAAAGAAAAAAACACCAGAAATGAGCCGAGTTCTCCGAGCGGTTTTATTAGGTCGATAAAACAACTTTTGCGTTTGCTATCTCTTAGAAATTTGACACACAAACACTCCTACCTGGTGCGACACCCTTTCCCGACAATTGGATAGCTTAATGGTTTTCTAATTCCGAGCGAGCGGCAGCTCTTTGAAGTATATCCATCCACTTGTGCTCGGGACACCCTCCCTGTTGATCGATGAGTCTCGATTGAGATGAGCTGACACGGTTTCACTGCACACACATGTTCCTATGATGTTGTTTTCACGACCACAATCGATGAATGCACTCCAGCGGTCTTGAATATCCACAGGCGAACGATTGAACTTGGTCGGGCTTGTTAATTTCCGAGCAGAGTCCCAAAACCTGTTTTCGCGAATATAACGAGTTCTAGACTAGCTGGAGCGATGAAATTTTAACAGTGCGTCTAAATTCAGAGCGCGATCATTCGCTGCGAATTAGAACTTTCTAGCTATCGTAGTTTTCTTTATACGAGCATATGTGAAATCAAAACATCGTACAGTGAAAGCCTTACTTACACGTAAAGTTCTGTTGATAACTTTCTTTTTAGAATACCTACATCGATGAGACGCGCCTCGAATGTTCCTCGGAACATAATCTTACTCCCTGGTTAAAATAAATGTCCTAGCTAGCCTACTTTCCGAGCTTCGTGCGATTGAATCACCTCCGGTTGCGAGCAAAACACGCGGCAGCCATTTGCTTTTTTTGCAAAAACCAAAACAAGAACCACGAATGGGCGGTAAATTTCTAAATACTTGACCTAAATAATTTAAACTTGTTGTGGAACACGGGTCTCGTTTTCAAAAATAAGACGATTCCCGTAATTCTAAGCTTGGTGTTATTAAACCAGGGCTGTGTTTCAAATCTCACCCTAATAAACCCGAGTTACTCGGGCGGATCGTGTCACGTGACAGCAGAAATGAAAGAACGCTGGACGCAGGCAGGTTTCAAAACGCCAGGTGTACAGAAGCTTTACCTCGCAGTATGATTTCGTTAATTTTAAAACACGGCCAGGAATTACATTTTTTATGAATGAATAGATAGATGACCCGTTTCGAATGAATGGATCCATGAGTGCGGCTGAGCAATTCCGACCGGTCGGTAAATCCCGCCACCTGGTGCCTTTTGTTTTACCATTGAAAATATTGAATTTCTGAAATCTATATTACGACCTTGAATTTACGATATCAAATGGGGGACACTTGTTCCCAGCCGCCCCTGGACTGGACAGAGACCGATTTCTTTTCTTGTGTGATGCGAGTTTCGCGAAATAAACGGCGTTTGAAAGTTTTCACATCGAAGCCAGCCATTCGCTTTCCTCACTTTAGGCACCGATCCTTTCTTCGATCTCGCTTCATTAATACTGGTCGTATCTCGTCACCGCTAGCACCGATGTGTTCCTTGGTCTTTCTAGACTCTACGGACACCACTTTGAACGTGTGTAATAAAAGGTTTCGCGATGCTACGACGCTTTTACCGTGGGCATGGTCATGGCGGCCAATTGTACTTTCCGAGCCTGTGTTCGGACCTCCGAGGCTGAATTTTCGTTTCCGAGACGCGATGTTGGTGTCAAACGTGAGCACGCGTTCCGTAGAAGACCCGACGACTGTAGTTTGCCTCGGATCGAGTCGATGGTTTACTGTACGAGCACTGATGCGACTTCCCGCACGAAAGCAGTCATTTTCAGGTTCGATATTGCTCACCGCTTCATCATTTGCTACCACAATTTGCTTTTTTGTTCTGAAGCGCTCCCTCGGGTAAAAGGAACGTTCGCTATGCGCGCGAGATTATTTTAATTCATTCATCTCGTGCGGCGCGCGCTCGGCAGAGCGGCTAGTCGTTTGAAGGCTCACCAGAGCGCGAGCAAGACTTCAAAGAGCTGCCGCTCGCTCGTAATTAGAAAACCATTATCGGTACGTACAACTATCAAATTGTTGGGGAAGGGTCTCGCACCAGGTAGGACTGTTTGTGTGTCAAAAGGGTACTAATAAGGAAGTGTGTTTTTACATTGAGACAGCTCGTCTGAAAAATTGTATTCTTGGCCTAAATAAAGTCTGAGGTCTCAAAAAGAAATGAGCTGATTCTTGTTTTTCTGGCGCAGTGAAGACTCGTTAAATGTGTCACTTCTTTTTTATTTATGTCTTCAGGCCCCTGCTGTCCACCTCGGGAAAAGGTTTGTTCCTGCAGAGCTTTTTGTATACATGCCCCTAGAGTACAACTGGCCCCACACTCTTTATTTTGCCCCCTTGTGCTTTTTCTGGTGCAAGATGAGCTCGACTGAAGCATGAGTAACCTTCTAGCTTGCTATCTGTTCAGTTTGAACCCTCAAGCTAAGTCCGTTTTCACTTGACGGCCAACATCTGAACGCAGGCGCTGTTTCTACCTCGAAGCAAAACTACGCCCTTTGCCTCACTTTCACGTCCATTCTTTTGTTAAGGTGGTCTTTCCCAGAGACGGTGAGGACAAATACAGATCTGTGCCGCAAGAGGGACTCCACAAATCACTTTTGAGCTTTTTCTAGACATGCCGCCACAGTACAACCGCTCCCACACTCCTATTTTCCCCCCTTGTGCTTTTTCTGGTGCAAGATGAGCTCGACTGAAGCACGAGTAACCTTCTAGGTTGCTATCTGAGCAGTTTGAACCCTCAAGCTAAGTCCGTTTTCACTTGACGGCCAACATCTGAACGCGGGCGTTGTTTCTGCACCAAACCAAAAGTGTGCCTTTCGTCTCCGAGGGACGTTCATTCTGAGTTATGGTCGTCTTTTCCAGAGACGGTGAGGACAAATGCACATCTGTGCTGCAAGAGGGACTCCACACAACCCTACAGAGCCCACACCCCGTAACATGTGGAGACACACTTTAATCAAAACAAACGTGATCAGAGGCTCCGGAAGTCTTTCTTTAGAGGGGGGGCTCGACATCTCCGAAATCCTCAAGGTTAGGTTGGTTTCAGGTTGACATTAATTGCCACATTTGAATGAAAACATATTAATGCACCGCGTTCGCATATTCACGCATATATCCATGGAAAACAAATTAAAACAATGGTTCAGTAAAATAACAGTAAGAAGCTTGCACTGACAACTCATACAATGATTGGATAACCACTGAAATCAGCCGCACCATGTGTTCTTTATTTTTTCTTTCCTATACCAACTGTTACATGTCAACCGCAGCTGTGCCTATGCCAAATTGGCTATGTCTAAAAATGAAAACCTTCCTTCATTTAGGGATTCTCGGGGAAGCATGATGTATTAACGCAGACGTAGACAAACAAGTGTTAAAAGTTTTAGACAAAACCCCGAAACTCGGGGGAAAAAAGGACAACACAACACGGAGTCTCAAACACAGCAAGTTGGGCCATCGGATGTCTTAACTGGAAGCAGAGGTTGCATACATCGGTATGTACCTCGGGATCAAGTACATCGACCGTGATCGTTCGGACTCCTGGCGTCAATACAAGTTGGGGGGCATCACAAAAGGAGAGTACTGAAGGATAATAGCTGTGTTTCAGACTTCGTGTTGTGTTGTCCTTAGTTTGTAAACATGTGTCGCCTCATGCCTCACCACCCTGCGGGCACGACGCCGCATGCGCGCAAAGCTTTCGCCATGAAAGGCGCCTTGTCAAATTTGGGAGCTCGTAGACTTTCGCCTTTTCTAAGCACTCCCGAATCCCCACTCAAGCTCACCAGACCCCCCCTCCCCCTTTTCCTAATGATGGCCTTTAGGCGCCTGCCTGTTTTGTCCGCGGGCCAGAAGCACCATGCATCTTCTGGGCTTCTTGCTTCCACACGGGGGAAGCAGACAAACGCTGGCCGACGTCGTCTTGTCGGAATCCATTCATTTCGCTGTCTCCTCTTTGCTCGCTCTAAACTGGTTGTCAATCAGGCTCATGAGTCCTGCCTGTCATTTTCTTCTGGTTTTGACTTTTCAAGCAAGCCTCTCCGTCGCCCCGGTGCTTTTTGTGCTTGGCGGAGGTGAGGAGGGCGGTAGGTCAGCATGTATAAAGAGTCATTTCATTTATTTCGGCTCAGGAGAGACGGAGGTACAGGAAATAGGCCGAAGGCCCATACCAGATAACCTGCAAACACACAAACTAAAAAAAAAAAAAAAAAAGAGGGAGGGGGAGGGGGGGCTCGGCAGCTCGGTCCTGAGGACAGGAGGGGCTCAAGCCCACCCTGCCCCCCCCGCTTCCAGAGCCCCTGAACGTGATTTACTAAGACAGGCCTGCATTCAAATTTTGGCCGTCAGAGAAAAACGGATGGATCCAGAGGGTTGAAACTTCACAGGTAGCAAGGTACCAGAGGCCTCAAATTTCAGTAGGCATACCTTTACGAAAGGAGGTTCCAAAGCTTAGAAAAAAAATCTTTCGGCTACAGGACCCAGGTGTGTCTTTATTTAAAATCCAGAGCAGATAAAGTTTTCTAATAACTTTCGAAAGGTGCACTGGCCGTTGCTAAACAAGAAACAAAAACAGTTTTCTCAAGAAAACGTACGAGGGAGGAGGGCTGAGCAATATCGAACCCGAAAATTGGTGCTTTCCTGTGGAAAGTCGCATCAGTGCTCGTAAAGTAAAATATCCACTCGATCAGAGGTAAAGTACAGTCGTCGGGTGTTCTACGAAACGCCTGCTCACGTTTGACACCAACATCGCGTCTCGGAAACGAAAATTCAGCCTCGGAGGTCCGAACAAAGGTTTCTAAAAGTAGAAATGGCCGCCATGACCATGCCCACGGTAAAAGCGTCGTAGCATCGCGAAAACTTTTATTTCACACGTTCAAAGTGGTGTCCGTAGAGTCTAGAAAGACCAAGGAACACATCGGTGCTAGCGGTGATGAGATACGACCAGTATTAATGAAGGGAGATCAACGAGAATGCTTCCCTTAATAAATAGTGCAAAAAATAAACAAAATAATAAAGAAAAAAATACCCGATGCGAGTGGTGTGTCTGCCCTCCACCAGGCGGCGCGATCCCCTTCCCGACTTTTTTCCTTCTCTTTCCCTCTCCTCCTCGCTCATCCTCCTCCGCTTTCCTTTGTTCCCAGAGGCCGGCCCCAGTGTGGTTTCCGTTGTGCTTGGGAGCAGTCGCGTAGTCGCCCGTGTCCAGCTCCTTCTTTGTTCTTTGTTCCGAAATCGGTCTTCTTCTTCTTCGGACCCCGAACGTCGCCTCACGCTTCCTGCCTTCGTCAAAGGGCCTCCTTTCGTTCGACACATTGGGGTAAGTGTACGTCCATTATACTATCCTTTAATTTCGAGTTTTTGATTATTTGCCAAACGAAAGTGATTTGAGTTTTTCAGCAAAAAAAAGAAGAATAATTCGTTTAAAACCAAGTGCTTTTCACACCTATTGGAGAATTTCATTAGCTTTCGGAAAATATATACTTCGATATGCGTAAAAGTATTTCTCGTTGCGTTAGAGAGTGAAGCAGGTGAAGCGGGAAAGTCCGGAGCGCGCGCGAGCCGCGATTCGATCGTCTAAGATCAGGCAAAAATTAAAAATAAAAGTGAACTACTACCTTTAGAACAGTCTCTTTTTCTGTGCTCTTAGCGCACACGTTTGTCTAACGGCACACGAAATTAAGAATCTCTATCTACTTTTATTATTACCTTTTTTTAACTTAAATCGACCAGCCACCCAGAGCGCCCGAAAACTAGTTTGGCTGGTTAGATCGAAATATGAAGAAGAATAATTCCGTTTAAAATCAAATAATTTTTACACCTATTGCACAATTTCATTACCTTTCGGAAAATATATACTTCGATGTGCGTAAGAGTATTTCTCGTTGCGATAGCGAGTGAAGCAGGTGAAGGGGGAGAGTCCGAAGCGCGCTCGAGCCGCGATTCGATCGTCTAAGATCAGGCAAAAATTAAAAATAAAAGTGAACTCCTACCTTTAGAACAGTCTCTTTTTCTGTGCTCTTAGCGCACACGTTTGCCTAACGGCACACGAAATTAAGAATCTCTATCTACTTTTATTATTACCTAAAGAAAAAAGCAGTGTGTTTAACCCTCCTGGAAAAGCGAACGCCGGCATCGCGCGTGACGGGCGGCGTGCTTTCAAGTTTTAATTAAACGCGTACAGAAGCTTATTTAATCGCAAACTAAGGCGCTAATTGTTCGCTACCTATCGTCCGAGGCAGGCACTTCTAGCACGAATTGTCGATTTTTTGTTATTTTTTGAAGGAGCAGGGGAGCCTCGCGGAAGCCGAAATTCATGCATGGGGCGTGTGGGAAAGCGCGACTTTGTGTATTAATTAGGCGCGTAGAGAAGCTTATTTAATAGCAAACTAAGGCGCTAATTGTTCGCTACCTATCGTCCAAAGCAGGGACTTGTAGCACGAATTGTTGATTTTTGGCGATTTTTTGAAGGAGCAGGGGAGCCTCGTGGAAATCGAAATTGATGCATTGGCCGTGTGGGAAAGCGCGACTTTGTGTATTAATTAGGCGCGTAGAGAAGCTTATTTAATAGCAAACTAAGGCGCTAATTGTTCGCTACCTATCGTCCGAAGCAGGGACTTGTAGCACGAATTGTTGATTTTTGGCGATTTTTTGAAGGAGCAGGGGAGCCTCGTGGAAATCGAAATTGATGCATTGGCCGTGTGGGAAAGCGCGACTTTGTGTATTAATTAGGCGCGTAGAGAAGCTTATTTAATAGCAAACTAAGGCGCTAATTGTTCGCTACCTATCGTCCGAAGCAGGGACTTGTAGCACGAATTGGTGATTTTTTGTTATTTTTTGAAGGAGCAGGGAAGCCTCGCGGAAGCCGAAATTCATGCATGGGGCGTGTGGGAAAGCGCGACTTTGTGTATTAATTAGGCGCGTAGAGAAGCTTATTTAATAGCAAACTAAGGCGCTAATTGTTCGCTACCTATCGTCCGAAGCAGGGACTTGTAGCACGAATTGTTGATTTTTGGCGATTTTTTGAAGGAGCAGGGGAGCCTCGTGGAAATCGGAATTGATGCATTGGCCGTGTGGGAAAGCGCGACTTTGTGTATTAATTAAGCGCGTACAGAAGCTTATTTAATCGCAAACTAAGGCGCTAATTGTTCTTTTTGTCCAGGCTTTGCTAGTGGCGTGAGCTTTCCCCGAACCTCTGCCGTCTGCTACAGCTCCTTTGTCTCCTGGGCGACCGTTGGAGCCGACTTCTTGCACGAATTCTTTTGTTCTTTTCACGCGAAACACGGAATTCGGCGGCGCCGAGCTAGGAAGCCGGCCTCTACGAACTCAAACGTTTCATCACTCTCTGACGCACGGAAGAAAAGAAAAAAATATATGTGTGTGGCGTAAGAACGTTCGGTGCATCTTTAATGTAGGGCGCTAAAGATTGTCTTTTTGTGCAGCGCAAGAGCGAGTTGCACGGCTGGCCCTCCGTTTCAAGTGACCTCCTTCAGCTGCGGATGACCTGTGCTTAATCAAGACCGCTTGAATGGCAACTGAGAACTTGCTCCAAGCAAAAAGTGTTTTTATGAAATCGTGTTAGCTCGTGCGAATTCACTGAATAGGAACAAGTGTGTTTTCATCGAGACAGCTCTCGTCTGCAAACTTGCATTGTCGGCCTAATAAAGTCTCAGGTTATTAAAATGTGAGGTAAAAAAGGAAAAATCTGTTGTTTTGTGTTTTGCTGGTGAGGACGAAGCCCCTGCTGTGCACACCTGCGGAAACGAAGTAAGTCCCTTATCAGTTTGTTCAGAGATTTGATTTTTTCCCGTGGTAATCGTGAAAAATAAAAAATAAAAAAGCGCGAGGACATAAATTCTTCTTTCTTATGTTTGAGCTTATTGCAAGACGCTATGAGCGGCGTTATGTTATATCTATACATAGCCTTTGAACTTGTGTTTTTTCTTCTTTCTTTTTGTGATCTCCAGTGTACCAGATTTGTCGGTTTACTGTTATTTTTTTGTTCCTTCTCGTCGCACCCTGCTTGGGGATTGGAAATGGCCTGCAGTGTAAATGAATAAAAACCAAATATAAAAAAAAAGAATTTAAATACTTCCCGACGCCATAGGGTCTTGATCTGCTTACAAATGCATTTAAATACTCTTTTCCCAGAACCATAACAGAATGAAACAGCCTACCTCATCGCAGATTTGTATCTGACAATGTTTTGCAGTCGATGGAGTGTTTGTTTGATGTGTAACCCTTTGCATGGTGTTTTAATTTTCCTCTTGCCCACTACTGCCACTCCTCCCAACTTTGTTGTGAGCTATTACATTACAATTTTCCCCTGTTCCGCTCTCCCATTTTACGGATTACCTGGTGTTGCGTTTTTAATATAATATAACAATCTGAGGTTAAACGGACAAAGAGGCCCCTGCTGTGCACACCTGCGGAAACGAAGTAAGTACCTTATCAGTGTTATTCAGAAATTTGATTGTTTCCAATGGTAATCGTGAAAAAAAAAAAAAAAGATGTGTTTTTTTATGTGTGTGCTCGCCCAAAAGCGAGCACATACATTCTTTTAATGTTCTCTGTTGCGCTTATTGCAAGACGCTGTCAGCGGCGTTGTATTATCTATACAGCCTTTGAACTTGCGTTTTCTCTTCTTTTTTTGTATCTCTGTACTTTGTATTCAAGTATATCAATCTACAAGTGCTAGCTGGGTCATTTATTTTAACCAGGCGAGTGGGATGTTCCGAGGAACATTATAGGCGCGTCTCATCGATGTAGCTAATCTAATAAAGTGTTGATTAAAAAGTTTACGTGTAAGGCTTCATTCTGTGGTGTTGTGATTTGGCATATCCTCGTATAAAGAAAACTACGATAGTTGGAAGGTTCTAATTCGCAGCGAATGATCGCGCTCTGAATTTAGACGCACTGTTAAATTTTCATCGCTCCAGCTCGTCTAGAACTCGTTATACTCGCGAAAACAGGTTTTTGGAACTCTGCTTGGAGATTAAAAACCCCGACCAAGTTCAATCGTTCACCCGTGAATATTCAAGACCGCTGGAGTGCATTCATCGATCGTGGTCGTGAAAACAACATCGTAGGAAAATGTGTGTGCAGTGAAACCGTGTCAGCTCATCTCAATCGAGACTTTTCGATCAACAGGGACGGTCTCCCGAGCACGAGTGGATTGATGTTCTTCAAAGAGCTGCCGCCCCCGCTCGTAATTAGAAAACAATTATAGGTACAACTATCAAATTGTTGGGGAAGGGTCTCGCACCAGGTAGGACTGTTTGTGTGTCAAATTTCTTCGAGATAGCAAACGCAAAAGTTGTTTTATCGACCTATTAAAACCGCTCGGAGAGCTCGGCTGATTTCTGGTGTTTTTTTTTTTTTTTTTTTTGCGTGTTCTTCTTGTAGTGTTAATTCTAAAAGAGAGATGCCGTAAATATCGCCTAATACCTCAACAAAAAACAAAAGTCCGAAGAAAAAAAAACAAACAAATTCTCTCGGGGGATTGAACTAACATCCTGCTGTGTACGAAGCGCACATCTTACCCACTGAACTACTCCACAGCTCGGAATTGGCGTGTTTACAATCCGTTTTATACGAGACCCAATAGGCGACTACTGCCGGCACTTTTTCTCCCCCCGGCTATTCTGCCGGCTGCCGGCAGAATAGACACTTCCTTCATTAATACTGGTCGTATCTCATCGCCGCTAGCACCGATGTGTTCCTTGGTCTTTCTAGACTCTACGGACACCACTTTGAACGTGTGTAATAAAAGGTTTCGCGATGCTACGACGCTTTTACCGTGGGCATGGTCATGGCGGCCAATTGTACTTTCCGAACCTGTGTTCGGACCCTAGAGTACAACTGGCCCCACACTCTTTATTTTGCCCCCTTGTGCTTTTTCTGGTGCAAGATGAGCTCGACTGAAGCATGAGGAACCTTCTAGCTTGCTATCTGTTCAGTTTGAACCCTCAAGCTAAGTCCGTTTTCACTTGACGGCCAACATCTGAACGCAGGCGCTGTTTCTACCTCGAAGCAAAACTACGCCCTTTGCCTCACTTTCACGTCCATTCTTTTGTTAAGGTGGTCTTTCCCAGAGACGGTGAGGACAAATACAGATCTGTGCCGCAAGAGGGACTCCACAAATCACTTTTGAGCTTTTTCTAGACATGCCGCCACAGTACAACCGCTCCCACACTCCTATTTTCCCCCCTTGTGCTTTTTCTGGTGCAAGATGAGCTCGACTGAAGCACGAGTAACCTTCTAGGTTGCTATCTGAGCAGTTTGAACCCTCAAGCTAAGTCCGTTTTCACTTGACGGCCAACATCTGAACGCGGGCGTTGTTTCTGTGCCAAACCAAAAGTGTGCCTTTCGTCTCCGAGGGACGTTCATTCTGAGTTATGGTCGTCTTTTCCAGAGACGGTGAGGACAAATGCACATCTGTGCTGCAAGAGGGACTCCACACAACCCTACAGAGCCCACACCCCGTAACATGTGGAGACACACTTTAATCAAAACAAACGTGATCAGAGGCTCCGGAAGTCTTTCTTTAGAGGGGGGGCTCGACATCTCCGAAATCCTCAAGGTTAGGTTGGTTTCAGGTTGACATTAATTGCCACATTTGAATGAAAACATATTAATGCACCGCGTTCGCATATTCACGCACATATCCATGGAAAACAAATTAAAACAATGGTTCAGTAAAATAACAGTAAGAAGCTTGCACTGACAACTCACACAATGATTGGATAACCACTGAAATCAGCCGCACCATGTGTTCTTTATTTTTTCTTTCCTATACCAACTGTTACATGTCAACCGCAGCTGTGCCTATGCCAAATTGGCTATGTCTAAAAATGAAAACCTTCCTTCATTTAGGGATTCTCGGGGAAGCATGATGTATTAACGCAGACGTAGACAAACAAGTGTTAAAAGTTTTAGACAAAACCCCGAAACTCGGGGGAAAAAAGGACAACACAACACGGAGTCTCAAACACAGCAAGTTGGGCCATCGGATGTCTTAACTGGAAGCAGAGGTTGCATACATCGGTATGTACCTCGGGATCAAGTACATCGACCGTGATCGCTTCGGACTCCTGGCGTCAATACAAGTTGGGGGGCATCACAAAAGGAGAGTACTGAAGGATAATAGCTGTGTTTCAGACTTCGTGTTGTGTTGTCCTTAGTTTGTAAACATGTGTCGCCTCATGCCTCACCACCCTGCGGGCACGACGCCGCATGCGCGCAAAGCTTTCGCCATCAAAGGCGCCTTGTCAAATTTGGGAGCTCGTAGACTTTCGCCTTTTCTAAGCACTCCCGAATCCCCACTCAAGCTCACCAGACCCCCCCTCCCCCTTTTCCTAATGATGGCCTTTAAGCGCCTGCCTGTTTTGTCCGCGGGCCAGAAGCACCATGCATCTTCTGGGCTTCTTGCTTCCACACGGGGGAAGCAGACAAACGCTGGCCGACGTCGTCTTGTCGGAATCCATTCATTTCGCTGTCTCCTCTTTGCTCGCTCTAAACTGGTTGTCAATCAGGCTCATGAGTCCTGCCTGTCATTTTCTTCTGGTTTTGACTTTTCAAGCAAGCCTCTCCGTCGCCCCGGTGCTTTTTGTGCTTGGCGGAGGTGAGGAGGGCGGTAGGTCAGCATGTATAAAGAGTCATTTCATTTATTTCGGCTCAGGAGAGACGGAGGTACAGGAAATAGGCCGAAGGCCCATACCAGATAACCTGCAAACACACAAACTAAAAAAAAAAAAAAAAAGAGGGAGGGGGAGGGGGGGCTCGGCAGCTCGGTCCTGAGGACAGGAGGGGCTCAAGCCCACCCTGCCCCCCCGCTTCCAGAGCCCCTGAACGTGATTTACTAAGACAGGCCTGCATTCAAATTTTGGCCGTCAGAGAAAAACGGATGGATCCAGAGGGTTGAAACTTCACAGGTAGCAAGGTACCAGAGGCCTCAAATTTCAGTAGGCATACCTTTACGAAAGGAGGTTCCAAAGCTTAGAAAAAAAATCTTTCGGCTACAGGACCCAGGTGTCTCTTTATTTAAAATCCAGAGCAGATAAAGTTTTCTAATAACTTTCGAAAGGTGCACTGGCCGTTGCTAAACAAGACACAAAAACAGTTTTCTCAAGAAAACGTACGAGGGAGGAGGGCTGAGCAATATCGAACCCGAAAATTGGTGCTTTCCTGTGGAAAGTCGCATCAGTGCTCGTAAAGTAAAATATCCACTCGATCAGAGGTAAAGTACAGTCGTCGGGTGTTCTACGAAACGCCTGCTCACGTTTGACACCAACATCGCGTCTCGGAAACGAAAATTCAGCCTCGGAGGTCCGAACAAAGGTTTCTAAAAGTAGAAATGGCCGCCATGACCGTGCCCACGGTAAAAGCGTCGTAGCATCGCGAAAACTTTTATTTCACACGTTCAAAGTGGTGTCCGTAGAGTCTAGAAAGACCAAGGAACACATCGGTGCTAGCGGTGATGAGATACGACCAGTATTAATGAAGGGAGATCAACGAGAATGCTTCCCTTAATAAATAGTGCAAAAAATAAACAAAATAATAAAGAAAAAAATACCCGATGCGAGTGGTGTGTCTGCCCTCCACCAGGCGGCGCGATCCCCTTCCCGACTTTTTTCCTTCTCTTTCCCTCTCCTCCTCGCTCATCCTCCTCCGCTTTCCTTTGTTCCCAGAGGCCGGCCCCAGTGTGGTTTCCGTTGTGCTTGGGAGCAGTCGCGTAGTCGCCCGTGTCCAGCTCCTTCTTTGTTCTTTGTTCCGAAATCGGTCTTCTTCTTCGGACCCCGAACGTCGCCTCACGCTTCCTGCCTTCGTCAAAGGGCCTCCTTTCGTTCGACACATTGGGGTAAGTGTACAGTCGGGAGCAAAAGTTTGCGGGGCACGGGAGCGCGTGCCGAAATGCATCGCCGCGCCGTCCGACGGAGCGCCACCGCATTAAAGAGACGCGCTTTGCGCATGCGCGCCTTTCGTGTTCGCATTCATGTCTCTTTCGCTCGTTTCTTTACGACGCACTCCTGATAACAGGAGTCGGCGCCAGGGGCGCGAGTTAGTGCTTCGCTGGCTGTCATGCTGCGCGTCTGCTTCAGCCGCCGCGCTTTGTCACGGAGCTCGCGTAGGGAAGGGGGGAGGAGGTTAACCAGGCGCTCCGTCACCCAGCGCGGCTGCTGTGGCGGCTGAAGAGGACGCCAGGCATGACAGCCAGCGAAACGGCAACTTGCGCCCCTGGCGCCGACTCCGGTTATCAGGAGTGAGTCGGACAGAAACGAGCGAAAGAGACATGACTGCCAGCACGAAGGGCGCGCATGCGCAAAGCGCGGCTTTTTAATGCGGCGGCGCGCCGTTGCACGGCGCGGCGATGCATTTCGGCACGCGCTCCGGTGCCCCGCAAACTTTTGCTCCCGACTGTACGTCCATTATACTATCCTTTAATTTCGAGTTTTTGATTATTTGTTATTATTTGATTAAAGCTATACGCACTCCGGAGTGCGCTTCGGACGGAAATGGCTATACGCACTCCGCTTTTCTCGTATAAAAAGAGTGGACACAACGACTTCCCTAAGTGGTGCTATGGCACAGGGGTTAGAGTGTCCGCTTCATACGCATGTGGACACGGGTTCGATCCGCGGTGAGCCTACTTTTTTTTTTTCTCAAACATTTTGTTTTGTCGAGGCATTTGGCGATATTTACGACATTTCCTTTTTTGCGATGAACAGTAAAAAAAAAAAAAAAAAAATTGAATGTTGTCGAGAAACTTTGCAGAACTAAGTGGTATCGGACTCCCTTTCCGGAGGTGCGATCGGGGACAGCGGGGCTTGGATTGCCGGCTGGACGCCGCGAAGTGGCGTGTACTGGTTACGCTTTGTAATTAGCAGCCGATACTGTCGCCGCGAAGCGGCGTGAACGCAGGCGGGGGGCTGTGTTAACGAGCGCCCCAGTGATTCACGCGCCGTTCGAAAAGGGTGGCCCGAGCGGCATGATCTCTCGGAGGAGTGCGTATAGCCATTTCCGCGCGAAGCGCACTCCGGAGTGCGTATAGCTTTACTCATTTGCCAAACGAAAGTGATTTGAGTTTTTCAGCAAAAAAAAGAAGAATAATTCGTTTAAAACCAAGTGCTTTTCACACCTATTGGAGAATTTCATTAGCTTTCGGAAAATATATACTTCGATATGCGTAAAAGTATTTCTCGTTGCGTTAGAGAGTGAAGCAGGTGAAGCGGGAAAGTCCGGAGCGCGCGCGAGCCGCGATTCGATCGTCTAAGATCAGGCAAAAATTAAAAATAAAAGTGAACTACTACCTTTAGAACAGTCTCTTTTTCTGTGCTCTTAGCGCACACGTTTGTCTAACGGCACACGAAATTAAGAATCTCTATCTACTTTTATTATTACCTTTTTTTAACTTAAATCGACCAGCCACCCAGAGCGCCCGAAAACTAGTTTGGCTGGTTAGATCGAAATATGAAGAAGAAGAATTCCGTTTAAAATCAAATAATTTTTACACCTATTGCACAATTTCATTACCTTTCGGAAAATATATACTTCGATGTGCGTAAGAGTATTTCTCGTTGCGATAGCGAGTGAAGCAGGTGAAGGGGGAGAGTCCGAAGCGCGCTCGAGCCGCGATTCGATCGTCTAAGATCAGGCAAACATTAAAAATAAAAGTGAACTCCTACCTTTAGAACAGTCTCTTTTTCTGTGCTCTTAGCGCACACGTTTGCCTAACGGCACACGAAATTAAGAATCTCTATCTACTTTTATTATTACCTAAAGAAAAAAGCAGTGTGTTTAACCCTCCTGGAAAAGCGAACGCCGGCATCGCGCGTGACGGGCGGCGTGCTTTCAAGTTTTAATTAAACGCGTACAGAAGCTTATTTAATCGCAAACTAAGGCGCTAATTGTTCGCTACCTATCGTCCGAGGCAGGCACTTCTAGCACGAATTGTCGATTTTTTGTTATTTTTTGAAGGAGCAGGGGAGCCTCGCGGAAGCCGAAATTCATGCATGGGGCGTGTGGGAAAGCGCGACTTTGAGTATTAATTAGCCGCGTAGAGAAGCTTATTTAATAGCAAACTAAGGCGCTAATTGTTCGCTACCTATCGTCCGAAGCAGGGACTTGTAGCACGAATTGTTGATTTTTGGCGATTTTTTGAAGGAGCAGGGGAGCCTCGTGGAAATCGAAATTGATGCATTGGCCGTGTGGGAAAGCGCGACTTTGTGTATTAATTAGGCGCGTAGAGAAGCTTATTTAATAGCAAACTAAGGCGCTAATTGTTCGCTACCTATCGTCCGAAGCAGGGACTTGTAGCACGAATTGTTGATTTTTGGCGATTTTTTGAAGGAGCAGGGGAGCCTCGTGGAAATCGAAATTGATGCATTGGCCGTGTGGGAAAGCGCGACTTTGTGTATTAATTAGGCGCGTAGAGAAGCTTATTTAATAGCAAACTAAGGCGCTAATTGTTCGCTACCTATCGTCCGAAGCAGGGACTTGTAGCACGAATTGTTGATTTTTGGCGATTTTTTGAAGGAGCAGGGGAGCCTCGTGGAAATCGAAATTGATGCATTGGCCGTGTGGGAAAGCGCGACTTTGTGTATTAATTAGGCGCGTAGAGAAGCTTATTTAATAGCAAACTAAGGCGCTAATTGTTCGCTACCTATCGTCCGAAGCAGGGACTTGTAGCACGAATTGGTGATTTTTTGTTATTTTTTGAAGGAGCAGGGAAGCCTCGCGGAAGCCGAAATTCATGCATGGGGCGTGTGGGAAAGCGCGACTTTGTGTATTAATTAGGCGCGTAGAGAAGCTTATTTAATAGCAAACTAAGGCGCTAATTGTTCGCTACCTATCGTCCGAAGCAGGGACTTGTAGCACGAATTGGTGATTTTTTGTTATTTTTTGAAGGAGCAGGGAAGCCTCGCGGAAGCCGAAATTCATGCATGGGGCGTGTGGGAAAGCGCGACTTTGAGTATTAATTAGGCGCGTAGAGAAGCTTATTTAATAGCAAACTAAGGCGCTAATTGTTCGCTACCTATCGTCCGAAGCAGGGACTTGTAGCACGAATTGTTGATTTTTGGCGATTTTTTGAAGGAGCAGGGGAGCCTCGTGGAAATCGGAATTGATGCATTGGCCGTGTGGGAAAGCGCGACTTTGTGTATTAATTAGGCGCGTAGAGAAGCTTATTTAATAGCAAACTAAGGCGCTAATTGTTCGCTACCTATCGTCCGAAGCAGGGACTTGTAGCACGAATTGGTGATTTTTTGTTATTTTTTGAAGGAGCAGGGAAGCCTCGCGGAAGCCGAAATTCATGCATGGGGCGTGTGGGAAAGCGCGACTTTGTGTATTAATTAGGCGCGTAGAGAAGCTTATTTAATAGCAAACTAAGGCGCTAATTGTTCGCTACCTATCGTCCGAAGCAGGGACTTGTAGCACGAATTGGTGATTTTTTGTTATTTTTTGAAGGAGCAGGGAAGCCTCGCGGAAGCCGAAATTCATGCATGGGGCGTGTGGGAAAGCGCGACTTTGTGTATTAATTAGGCGCGTAGAGAAGCTTATTTAATAGCAAACTAAGGCGCTAATTGTTCGCTACCTATCGTCCGAAGCAGGGACTTGTAGCACGAATTGTTGATTTTTGGCGATTTTTTGAAGGAGCAGGGGAGCCTCGTGGAAATCGGAATTGATGCATTGGCCGTGTGGGAAAGCGCGACTTTGTGTATTAATTAAGCGCGTACAGAAGCTTATTTAATCGCAAACTAAGGCGCTAATTGTTCTTTTTGTCCAGGCTTTGCTAGTGGCGTGAGCTTTCCCCGAACCTCTGCCGTCTGCTACAGCTCCTTTGTCTCCTGGGCGACCGTTGGAGCCGACTTCTTGCACGAATTCTTTTGTTCTTTTCACGCGAAACACGGAATTCGGCGGCGCCGAGCTAGGAAGCCGGCCTCTACGAACTCAAACGTTTCATCACTCTCTGACGCACGGAAGAAAAGAAAAAAATATATGTGTGTGGCGTAAGAACGTTCGGTGCATCTTTAATGTAGGGCGCTAAAGATTGTCTTTTTGTGCAGCGCAAGAGCGAGTTGCACGGCTGGCCCTCCGTTTCAAGTGACCTCCTTCAGCTGCGGATGACCTGTGCTTAATCAAGACCGCTTGAATGGCAACTGAGAACTTGCTCCAAGCAAAAAGTGTTTTTATGAAATCGTGTTAGCTCGTGCGAATTCACTGAATAGGAACAAGTGTGTTTTCATCGAGACAGCTCTCGTCTGCAAACTTGCATTGTCGGCCTAATAAAGTGTGAGGTTATTAAAATGTGAGGTAAAAAAGGAAAAATCTGTTGTTTTGTGTTTTGCTGGTGAGGACGAAGCCCCTGCTGTGCACACCTGCGGAAACGAAGTAAGTCCCTTATCAGTTTGTTCAGAGATTTGATTTTTTCCCGTGGTAATCGTGAAAAATAAAAAATAAAAAAGCGCGAGGACATAAATTCTTCTTTCTTATGTTTGAGCTTATTGCAAGACGCTATGAGCGGCGTTCTGTTATATCTATACATAGCCTTTGAACTTGTGTTTTTTCTTCTTTCTTTTTGTGATCTCCAGTGTACCAGATTTGTCGGTTTACTGTTATTTTTTTGTTCCTTCTCGTCGCACCCTGCTTGGGGATTGGAAATGGCCTGCAGTGTAAATGAATAAAAACCAAATATAAAAAAAAAGAATTTAAATACTTCCCGACGCCATAGGGTCTTGATCTGCTTACAAATGCATTTAAATACTCTTTTCCCAGAACCATAACAGAATGAAACAGCCTACCTCATCGCAGATTTGTATCTGACAATGTTTTGCAGTCGATGGAGCGTTTGTTTGGTGTGTAACCCTTTGCATGGTGTTTTAATTTTCCTCTTGCCCACTACTTCCACTCCTCCCAACTTTGTTGTGAGCTATTACATTACAATTTTCCCCTGTTCCGCTCTCCCATTTTACGGATTACCTGGTGTTGCGTTTTTAATATAATATAACAATCTGAGGTTAAACGGACAAAGAGGCCCCTGCTGTGCACACCTGCGGAAACGAAGTAAGTACCTTATCAGTGTTATTCAGAAATTTGATTGTTTCCAATGGTAATCGTGAAAAAAAAAAAAAAGATGTGTTTTTTTATGTGTGTGCTCGTCCAAAAGCGAGCACATACATTCTTTTAATGTTCTCTGTTGCGCTTATTGCAAGACGCTGTCAGCGGCGTTGTATTATCTATACAGCCTTTGAACTTGCGTTTTCTCTTCTTTTTTTGTATCTCTGTACTTTGTATTCAAGTATATCAATCTACAAGTGCTAGCTGGGTCATTTATTTTAACCAGGCGAGTGGGATGTTCCGAGGAACATTATAGGCGCGTCTCATCGATGTAGCTAATCTAATAAAGTGTTGATTAAAAAGTTTACGTGTAAGGCTTCATTCTGTGGTGTTGTGATTTGGCATATCCTCGTATAAAGAAAACTACGATAGTTGGAAGGTTCTAATTCGCAGCGAATGATCGCGCTCTGAATTTAGACGCACTGTTAAATTTTCATCGCTCCAGCTCGTCTAGAACTCGTTATACTCGCGAAAACAGGTTTTTGGGACTCTGCTTGGAGATTAAAAACCCCGACCAAGTTCAATCGTTCACCCGTGAATATTCAAGACCGCTGGAGTGCATTCATCGATCGTGGTCGTGAAAACAACATCCTAGGAAAATGTGTGTGCAGTGAAACCGTGTCAGCTCATCTCAATCGAGACTTTTCGATCAACAGGGACGGTCTCCCGAGCACGAGTGGATTGATATTCTTCAAAGAGCTGCCGCCCCCGCTCGTAATTAGAAAACAATTATAGGTACAACTATCAAATTGTTGGGGAAGGGTCTCGCACCAGGTAGGACTGTTTGTGTGTCAAATTTCTTCGAGATAGCAAACGCAAAAGTTGTTTTATCGACCTATTAAAACCGCTCGGAGAACTCGGCTGATTTCTGGTGTTTTTTTTTTTTTTTTTTTTTTTGCGTGTTCTTTTTGTAGTGTTAATTCTAAAAGAGAGATGCCGTAAATATCGCCTAATACCTCAACAAAAAACAAAAGTCCGAAGAAAAAAAAAAAAAAACAAATTCTCTCGGGGGATTGAACTAACATCTTGCTGTGTACGAAGCGCACATCTTACCCACTGAGCTACTCCACAGCTCGGAATAGGCGTGTTTACAATCCGTTTTATACGAGACCCAATAGGCGACTACTGCCGGCACTTTTTCTCCCCCCGGCTATTCTGCCGGCTGCCGGCAGAATAGACACTTCCTTCATTAATACTGGTCGTATCTCATCACCGCTAGCACCGATGTGTTCCTTGTTCTTTCTAGACTCTATGGACACCACTTTGAACGTGTGAAATAAAAGCTTTCGCGAAGCTACGACGCTTTTACCGTGGGCATGGTCATGGCGGCCAATTCTGATTTCCGAACCCGTGTTCGGACCTCCGAGGCTGAATTTTCGTTTCCGAGCCGCGATGTTGGTGTCAAACGTGAGCACGCGTTCCGTAGAAGACCCGACGACTGTAGTTTACCTCGGATCGAGTCGATAGATTACTGTACGAGCACTGATGCGACTTCCCGCACGAAAGCAGTCATTTTCAGGTTCGATATTGCTCACCGCTTCATCATTTGCTACCACAATTTGCTTTTTTGTTCTGAAGCGCTCCCTCGGGTAAAAGGAACGTTCGCTATGCGCGCGAGATTATTTTAATTCATTCATCTCGTGCGGCGCGCGCTCGGCGGAGCGGCTAGTCGTTTGAAGGCTCACCAGAGCGCGAGCAAGACTTCAAAGAGCTGCCGCTCGCTCGTAATTAGAAAACCATTATAGGTACGTACAACTATCAAATTGTTGGGGAAGGGACAAATACACATATGTGCTGCAAGAGGGCCTCCACACAACCCTACAGAGCTTTTTTCAGACATGCCCCTACAGTACAACTGGCCCGACACTTTCTATTTTGTCCCCTTCTGCACTTTCTGGCGCAAGATGAGCTAAAGTGAAGCACGAGTAACCTTCTAGGTTGCTATCTGTTCAGTTTGAACCCTCAAGCTACGTCCCTCTTCCCTCGACGGCCAAAATTTGAACGCAGGCATGGTTACTGCGGAATACAAAAAGTCTGCCTTTTGTCTCCGAGGGACGTTCATTCTGTGTTATGGTCGTCTTTTCCAGAGACGGTGAGGACAAATACACATCTGTGCTGCAAGAGGGCCTCCACACAACCCTACGGAGCTTTTTGTAGACATGCCCCTACAGTACAACTGGCCCGACACTTTCTATTTTGTCCCCTTCTGCACTTTCTGGCGCAAGATGAGCTAAAGTGAAGCACGAGTAACCTTCTAGGTGGCTATCTGTTCAGTTTGAACCCTCAAGCTACGTCCCTTTTCCCTTGACGGCCAAAATTTGAACGCAGGCATGGTTACTGCGGAATACAAAAAGTCTGCCTTTTGTCTCCGAGGGACGTTCATTCTGTGTTATGGTCGTCTTTTCCAGAGACGGTGAGGACAAATACACATCTGTGCTGCAAGAGGGCCTCCACACAACCCTACGGAGCTTTTTGTAGACATGCCCCTACAGTACAACTGGCCCCACACTTTCTATTTTGTCCCCTTCTGCACTTTCTGGCGCAAGATGAGCTAAACTGAAGCACGAGTAACCTTCTAGCTTGCTACCTGTTCAGTTTGAACCCTCAAGCTACGTCCCTTTTCCCTTGACGGCCAAAATTTGAATGCAGGCGTTGTTTCTGTCTGAAAGCAAAAGTCTGCCATTTGTCTCCGAGGGACGTCCATTCTGTGTTACGGTGGTCACTTTGCACAGCCAGGTTAACGCTGTCTGCAGTCGTGCTGGGACGTCCTTGCTGCGGCTTGGCCGACACATTTGTTTTCTCGGCTTCCGTACTTTCCCACGTCGGCTTGTTTCAAGTCCAGCTACAGCATTCTTGTCGAATGGTACCTGTGAGTTCTGAAGGCTTGATGTCGACCTGTATTCTCTGCACAGCCCCCTACGGGGTTCTGCAGAAACCCCCGTCTTAGTAAATCACGTAGGTTTTCAATGAAGTGTGTCTCCACATCTTACGGGGGTGGGCAAGCAACACCGAGGACACAGTCTTCTTGTCTGCACTGCCTCTTTATTCTCAGACACTACAAAACCCCACGCCACTGTTCAAAGGCTCGAAAAATCAGGACTACCTTCAGCTTTTGCGTTCGTACATAAACTTTGACACCAGCTGTGTTAACCAACCTGGGCTCGTTCATTACAGGAGCAAAGCAAGCACTCGTATCAAAAATGAATCGTCGCTCTAGCACTCTTCGTCCCATCGTCCCATCTCCATGAATCGTCCCATCTCCATGACTTGCACGGCCTGTAAATTACTAGAACATATCATAACCAAACAACTCGTTTCTTTCTTAGAAATGCATAATGTTCTAAACCCCAACCAACATGGTTTCCACAGTGGCCTGTCAACGGTAACCCAGTTGATTGAATTTTACCATGAATTAGCCACTTACGTTAACAACCGTACGCAGGTTGATGCAGTTTTCATCGACCTGTCGAAGGCATTCGACCGGGTACCTCACCGCAGACTGATTAAGACATTAATAGATCTCGGAGTTCCCTTTTCTTTGACTAAGTGGATCAATGCATATCTTTCAAACCGTCAACAATTTGTGGATATAAATGGTACTTACTCAGGGCTGTTAGATGTTCATTCTGGGGTGCCCCAAGGTTCTGTCTTAGGGCCCCTACTTTTTTTAACTTACGTTAACAGTTTGTTCCCATCCAATGAAGATGTCCCAATTAAGCTAAGAATGTTTGCCGACGACTGCGTCATTTACAGTCCCGTTGTTGAAATACAAGACCAGACAAAAGTGAGTAAAGCACTGGCTAACATTGCGTCTTGGTGTCGTGAAAATAACATGAAGATTAATATTAGCGAAACTCAGTACATGCACATAACAACAAAAAGAACTGTCTTAAACTTTAGCTATGAGGTTGCTGGCGTAGTATTGACTGAAGTGGATAGTTACAAATATTTAGGAGTGATTTTGTCTTCTGACCTCGGGTGGAAAAGGCATGTGGAGTATGTTAAAGAGCGGGCAACTAACAAATTGTGGTACCTGAAGAGAACGCTGGGTAAAACTCCCCCTTCCGTTAAAATTCTTGCGTATAAGACAATTATTAGACCTGTGTTAGAATACGCGTCTGCAGTGTGGAGCCCATGGCAGAGCTCTCTGGTCAGAGAACTCGAAGATATTCAGTCGCTAGCTGTGCGTATAGTTTTTTCAGATTTCAGACGAACTACGTCTGTGACCGAACTTAAAAGGAGAGCCAATATAAGCCCTCTGTCAAACAGAAGAGAGAGCCAACGGTTGAAGCTGTTCTTTCAGATTTTCAAGAACTGTATAAAAATTGATGGC